CCCGGCACACTAAGTAGTGAGATGCCCCTGTAGTTGTTACAGTCTGTGCGGTCCCCCTTCTTAAAGAGGGGGACCACCAGGGCATCCTTCCAATCCTGCGGAACCCGTCCAGTGTTCCAGACTATTGTTATGTCATGTAGGGCAGTCTGTGCACAAACGCCACCCTCCCTCAGCATTTCGGTTGGGAGATCATCTCTGCCCGGTGCCTTTCCTGGTCTCAGACTCTGGATCGCCTTCAGTACTTCTGTAATATGAGAATATAACCGGCTCACTGACGTATCACAACTTGTCATGGTGATTGGCTCTGCCAGTCCTGGTTTACAGCCAATGGGGGGAAGCCTGGGGGCATGGCCCTGACGTGATGGAAGGGTGACAGCTATGCAGATTGGTTCTGCTGGCTTTGGCCTCAGCCAATGGGGAGATGAGTCAGGGGCGCGGTCCCGGGAGCTGACGAGGGAGCCTGGAAGATTCGATGCAGGCTAACGAGGATTGGCAGAAGCGTACCACGTGACCCGGGTATTAAATAGGGGTAGAGAGGAACGACACGTGGTCAGAACGGGAACGAACGGAGGAAGGGGCCACGCGGGAGCGGGGCTCCAAGTTGCCATGTGGCAGTGCGTCTCACTCTATCTGTCCCTCTCACACTGCTGATAAAGTGAATAAAAGACGGATTCCAGAAGTCGTCTCAAAGAGCTTTATTACACTTCCACAACAGATGGCACCTGAGCAGGCCACTCGAGCTCCTACCGCCGGCCTGACACCGTCGTCGTCGGAGTAGAGGAAGCGATCCGGCGCCTCCTGGCTCCTTTTTACCATAGGGAGGTGTCAGAGGCAGCCTCCTTGTGCTCCATTGCCCCTTCCCTGCTCCCCACCGGGTGTCCAAGCTGGAAGCGTGGCCGGTTTCTGGGTACCGCTCTTGTTCCCTGCTGGCTGGAGTTCAAGAGCGGAGAGCCCTGGGGTCTTCCTCCATTCACCCTCTAGTCCCTGGTGGTGATTGGCACTTTGTTGGCTGCAGGTGTTTCAAAATTTCAATCACCCGCTTTCCCTATGCAGGTGTATTTTCTTTAGCCACGTATTTGTACCCTGTGACACAATACACTACACTACTATACTCTACACTATACAATACACAATACACTACTATAGACTACTATACACTACACTATACACTACACTATACACTACACTATACACTACACTATACACTACTATACACTACACTATACACTACTGTACACTACACTATACACTACATTATACACTACTATATACACTACACACTACACTATACACTACTATACACTACACTATACACTACTATACACTACACTATACACTACGCTACTATACACTACACTATACACTACACTATATACTACACTATACACTACACTATAAACTACTATACACTACACTATACACTATACTACACACTACACTATACACTACTCTATTGTTGTATGTGTTGGGTTATGAAATTTTGATAAAAATAATAAAAATTAATAATTTTCCGAAAAATGTGCAAATCGCATTAATTATGTTAATGTGTGTATAAATATGCATAAATTATGATAATGAGTGTGATTATATGCATAAATTATGATAATCACGGAGATAATCGTAGTGATTTATGCGGATGCTTGCGATTATGTTAATGTGAGCAGTTATGATAATTAAGTTTAGTTTCGTTTATCCAGAGTTATATCAATCAGGATAACACGATTATCATTGATTAAACATTTACCGATTATCTTAGTGTGTGTTATGTTATTTTAGGTCTCCAGTTTCATATCTCATCACAGGCTACAGTTCTTGGGAATAAGACAGTTTTGCATGGACTTGGAAAGAAGCACTCGAGACTTGGTGTTAAGCAATTTTAATTCTAAACAAACACATGACACTCTAGTATGCAAAAGCAAGTATACGTCAATAAATTCATGGGCAAGATTACGCAATTAACGAAAATGAATGACTCAAACATTCCTTATTCATGTAACTCGACGGCAGCAACTGCTTTGCACGATCAGTTGATATTGAACGCACCACCTTGAAATGGCAACCCTTTTTGAAACGCAAGGATAACTTTTTGAAAATCTTATTCGTGTGCGTGTTGTGTGTGCGTTGTCCCCTCGTAATATTAATTAAATTTCTTAGAGCCGGGAGTTGTGTCGTTAGCTTGTGTGGTGTGGGAGGATACAACCCGCCGCCAGCGAAGTTCCTCTCTGGGTTGGGCGTGGCCGCACCGAGCCGTGCTGCCTTCCTCTCTCCACTGCTCGATTGAGTTTGCACGACGCTCGCTGTCGTGGTGTGCGATGATTCCGTCGTCGGATAGCGCGCAGCTCCTCCACGAGTCGGCACGACGCTCGGTGACATCCGAGTCGTGCTGCTCTTGCGCTCTCTCTCCCTCTACTGCTAGATGACGAGTTGGCACGACGCTCGGTGACGCCCGGGTGGTGCTGCTGCTGTCGCTCTCTCCTTGATCGCTGCCAACTTCACACGGACACTCGCCCTTGCTTCAGGCTGTGTTGGCTTGTGGCTCTGGACGACGCGGCTGTGCCCACTGAGTGTTGGTCGGTCTGAGTATCAAACACACTGCGCATTCGATGGCGCTTTCTCTCTCTTGGTGGCAGCCTCCGGCTTCTCCACTGCTCGATTGAGTTTGCACGACGCTCGCCGTCGCTCTGGACGTCTGGTCTGTTCTCACTGGTTGTTGGTCGGTGTGTGTCAAACACACGGCGCATGCATTGGCGCTGTCCTCTTCTTCACAGCCGTTTGATCAGGCTTTCTCCACTGCTTCGCGCTCTTTGCTTTGCTCGCTTGGTCGACGCTCGGCGATTTCCGACCTTTTACAGGTTGATTGCTTGTTGTCACTCGTCACTCTCTCTTCTCCGTGCTTCCTTTGTTCGTGCAGCTGCCAGCTTCACTCGCACTTAACTTCGTTCTGCGAGAAGCGACACCTGCTATCGGCATCGGTGTTTGCTCCCTCACGATGCTCCGCCAGCCGGAGCACGGCTGAAACCCAGCCTCGACCCAGGTTGAACTCAGACTTCTGCGACTCGAACGACCCCTCCTCGTTCCATCTCTCCTCGAGGCACGATCTGCCCCAGCTCTCTTGCGAGCCCCGTCGCAACGCTGCGTCACAAGCCGAGTTGCAAGACTGAGCACGACTCGAACCAGACTGCTCTCAGGCTGTCACCTTAACGATGTCTCGTCGTCCCATCTCTCCTCGAGGCATGATCTGCCCCAGCTCTCTTGCGAGCCCCGTCGCAACGCCGCGTCGCAAGCCGAGTTGCGAGACTGAGCACGACTCGAACCAGACTGCTTATTCGCTATGTGCGCTTGTGCTTAGCTCAAAACGTGAACACCCTCTCCTCTCTCCGCGTCTCTTGCGAGAGAAAACAAACAGAAAAAAACAGATGTTCTCGGAATGTCAGCACGAACTCCCCCCTTGTGACCTTTTTGCTCCCTTCTTGCTTGCCCCGCGTGGGTCATTCAGAGGCCAGACCCCGCTGGAAGACAAAGGTGGTCGAGGAGATGTATGCAATACCTTATGTGGTCTTGTGTGTTACGTTTATTCTTGATATTTCTTATGGGTTCCTTCGGTCTTAGTATCGTGGTAATCATTCGTCTATGTTTAATGAATATTCGTAATGATCCTCGTTACATCATTATTTAGAGGGTTTCGCCAATTTTAGTTCTCCAGAGATTGGTGTTTATTCTGAGTTATATTTTAATGTCCTGAGGTTAAGTGCAACTAAGTTTCCACTTACGCTTCCTTAACTGTTGGAATTCGTAATTATTATTTTTTTTTTGGTCAGGTAGATAGAAACATACAATACAAAATAATATTTATATATACGGTGAATACGAGTAATACAAGGGAATTACTAATAAAAAGCCCCTATTGTTTGTTGGTTAATTTTTTTTGTTAAGTTTCTACTTTTCGGTACGGAAAACGTTTAAGGAAAACGCGAGTTGCAAAAGTTGTTTTTCTCTACTCTGCACCCCCTCCGTGCATCTCAAGATGTCTTGGGAGGTTAGTCCATCGATCTTTTTGTCTATCTGGATGTCTATGACCTCTCTGTGACCGAATTCTTATCGTTTTAATGGCCCTCCATGTTCATAGATTCCTGGTGTGCTTGCGAGGAGAAGTGAGTTGTTTTCATTGTTTAATAAAAAAAGATATAATTATTCTTAATATTAATAACGGAAAACAGAGCATAGATACAACACTATACACTACACTACTATACACTACACTATACACTACACTATACACTACTATACACTACACCAGGGGTGGGCAAACTTTTTCACTCGCGGGCCACAAAGGGTTCTAAAATTTGACAGAGGGGTCGGGCCAGGAACAGATGGATGGAGTGTTTGTTTATTTTTCTCAGATTTGTGATGTCATATTTGCGATTGAGTCCCGTGTAATTTGCAGGGTTATGAAAGGTGACAATTGTATTGTTCATTGGCTACCGAGGCCGTGATACACAGGAGGGGTTCATCCTCCATCAGGTCACCGGGGTTACAGGTCAAAACGTCTCCCATAATGTGGGTTGCATGGCCACAGTGGCAAGAGTATGGATTGATGTTAATGCATCTCTACGGGTCTCGATGGGTCTCTATGTATCTATGAGTGTCGCCATGGGTTTAGTATAGGTCCATAGTTTGGGTTGTATGACCACAATCACACTGCCCTATATTAACTCAAATGAGTCTATATGCATCCCTATTTGTCTTCATGTGTCTCTGTGTTTCTCTATGGGTCTCTATATCTGAATCTCTATGTATCTCTATGGATTGCGAGGTATATCTATGGGTCTCTATAAGTTTACTTTATTGCAATAGTTTGCATTGTGTGGCCACAGTCGTTTTTCCATTTATTATTCAGGAAAGAGTGGTGTCAACACCACCTCCATAAGACATAGATCAACCATTGCGAAATTAACTCTTTCCTTAATTATTTAATAAAAACAAATCATACGCCTTGGCAGGGATCGATGACCGGGGTGAGACAGCGAATCAACGGCGAGTTCGCCCGCATGAGAGCAGCTCTGGACGAGGACGAGAAGGCGGCTCTGGCTCGTGCAGCCATGAAGGAGCGCGAGCTGCTGACCCAGATCGAGAAGAACATCGCTCACTACCAGCGCGAGATCGGCGAGCTCCGGGCAGCAGCCGCTCGTCTGCAGGCCCTAGCGCAGGAGAGAGACTCGCTCGCCTTCCTGCAGGTGAGCGATGAGTCTCCGGTGTCGCTATTTGTACAGAGCCCTCGGCAGCGTCAAAGTTGAGGCTCCTGAATGAGGTTTTCACATCGACTGCGCTTTGTCACGCATGGCCTGAAATTTTGCCCGGTCCTTGCATGCCGTCATCCCCACTCACGATGATGTTTGCAATGTAAGTCAGTGTTGGTGCTCATGATGTCAGAAGCCAAGACTTTGTGGTTTCTATTCAACCTGCGGTGTTGCAGTGGGAAATCCACTGATCCCATGGGAATGGAGGTAGAGTCACAGTAACGCATCTCTCTCTCTCTCCCATAGGGGCACCTGGAAGAGACGTGCAGGTAAAAGACGACTTTTACTCACGACTCAACACACGACAATATGGGACTATCTCGGCCTCACTCTGTGCTGCGTTGCAGAGCTAGCTGAGTAGATAACCTCGCGTTTCCAATAAACCCTCAGAGCCAGGGTGAACATCTGACTCCGAACGTCATTTATTGAAATTGAACGGGAGAGAGGTAAAATTGGTAAGAAAACAGCACAGATACAGTATCTGTTAATACCCAGAAACACCAACACAATGAATAAACACCACAGCATCATAACATTGTCTATGAATGAGACATTTTGTTATTACAAGTTTGAATCCACTTACTCGATTACGGGTAAGTCACAACAAGGCAAGCTGCAGGCTTTATTGTCAACTAAGCCCCACATTCATCGTAACAATTTAACAGCATTATAAAGGTCCTAACATTATAACAGCATTATAAAGGTCCTTCTAACATTATAGAAACATTGCCAATATTATAAGAACACAAACGAACTTACAGACAATGCTTCCCAAAGTCCCACAACGGTGGCTGCAGCTGTCTTCACGGAGCCTCGATGTGTGCCGCCATCTTGAATTATGTCTGTACTGGCCGACGCCCGCGTGGTTCAGCGGAAATCTAAAATCGCAACTTCCTGGTCACGTGACCACCCTCTGGTTCAAAAACAGGAAATTCCTGTGTACACACGCCCCACATCTGCCGTGAGGCAGAACAAGCACTGAGTGCGAGGCGCGGGCAGTGAGACACTGGCTGTGTGTGGGGATGCTGTGTGTGTGATGATGCTGTCAGTGGTGAATCTGTGAGTGGTTGTGTTGATTGTGATGATGCTGCGCGTGATCATGCTGTATGTGGTGATGCTGTGAATGATTGTGATGTGAGTCGTGATGCTTTGTGTGATGTGTGTCTATGTGATGGAGCTGTGATGATCCTGTGAGTGATGGCCGTGTCTGATCTGCTTTCACAGGAGAGGGCAGCCTAGAAAAGCTCCACCCTCAGCTCCCAACCAAGAGGACATTGCCTCACTTAAAGGCATCGAGGGAACTGTGGCCAAACTCATGTGTGAGTTCTTCAGTGTGAAACATGGGTGATGGGGCCATCTTCACAATACATTATAACCGTGTATGTGTGTGCACGAGGTCGACTCAGCCTCAAATGATTACCTGGTGTGTGTAAACATCGCCACGAGGGAGACAAAGGTGGTCGGGTGTGGTGCTGGCCACCCACCTCCTCGTGTGCCGTGCCGGTCTTCATAGACACTCGCTAGCAGCACTTGCCCCAATGGTCTGTTGAGGCTACACAGGGGATCTTTGTTTTTGTTCACAGCCCATTCCAGGACCCTACTGAACACAGCCATGAGACTCAGTGTGGTGTTCTTGGGTAAATGATCAGCATTAAGAGTCAGGGGTAATTGTGATGTTGAGATGCAGTTTGTGCCTGTGAATGTATATGCATGTGTGTGTGGGGGGGGGGGGGGGGAGGAGCGGTGGTTTAGTGGTTAGCACACTGCACTACGAACCCAGTTACCTGTGTTTGATTACCCGCCATAGCTAACATCAGTGGCAGGTGATATCTTATCAAGTCCTGGGTCTCTACTAGGCAGTTTCAACCTCAAATGAGTTCCTGATGCTGATAATGGTCATAATGATAGTCGTCATGATGAGGATGGTGGTAATGATGCTGTTAGTGATAATGTGAGTTATGGGAATGGTGATGGCAGTGCTGGTCGTGGTGATTATAAAGAAGGTGACATTTGTAATAATATAGGTGGTGATGGTTGTGATGGTTTTGCTGATGGTATTGGTGATGGTGATCATGGTAGTGATGGTGATGATGATTTTGATGGTCGTTGTGATGGTCATGATGCTGGCCGTGTTGGTGATATTGGTGATAGTGATGAAGATGGTGATGGGGATAGTGGTGATGGTCGTGGTGATGGTAGTGATGGTGCTAGTGGTGGTGATGATGATGGTGGTACTGTTGCTTAATGCGATAATGATGTTGATGTTCATAGTGTTGATGATGGTGGTAATGGTGATGTTTATGTTGTTGTCATTGATATTCATGGCGAGGATGGCTGGTGATGTTTGTGATGTTTTTGTTGATGGTGAAAATGATGGTTGGTGATGTTGATGGTGGTGATGGTGGATGATGGTGATGACGGTGTTCTGTAGTGATGTTGTCATCGCTGTTGTCACAGACGGTTGCTCACCGACTCTGGACACAAACTCAGCTCATAACCAGCTCCAGATCTTCTCGGATCTCAGGACGATGACAGCGGTCTTTGCCTCCCAGGGTCGCCCCGATCACCCACACCGGTTTGATGGCTGTGCACAAGCCCTGTGCTGTGAGAGCTTCTCGTCGGGCCACCACTACTGGGAGGTGGACGTGGGGGACGCGCGGTGGTGGCGGGTTGGAGTCGCATACGGGACGATCCCACGGAAAGGGGATGTTGCTGCACAGCTGCTGGGAGGGAGCGTCGCGTCCTGGTGTTTAGAGAAACGTGACGACAGCTTCTCAGTGGTTCATGGTGTAGTGAAGACTGCACTGTCGGTGAGGGGGGCCCCCTCCCCCCGCAGAATCGGGCTTCACCTGCACTGGGAGGGGGGGCTCCTGGCGTTTTACCGCGCCGACTCCATGGAGGTGATCCACGAGGTCCGGCAGAGATTCTCGCAGCCTCTCTACCCTGGGATGTTCGTGAATTATTATAATCAACCATTGAAGATCGTGGATCTAAGTCGTGCATCCTGAGGATGAGGAGAGACAGAACGCCAATAAACGGTGGAGAGGGGGATGGTGAGGAGAGGGTGAAGTGAGGATGAAGGGAAGGTGGAACGGAGGGTGAGGTAAGGTTCAAGTTCATGTATTAGGTATAGCCCTGTGAGCCATTCGGCTCTTGAATCGGGTGCAACCGCAACAAACAGAAAACAAACAAAATTAACAAAAACATCTTAAAGTGAATATGTGACTGAGTGCAAACAGAAATCCAAGAAAAGACAGCAAAATATTGCAGAAAAAAATCACCGTACACCAACGATGTGTGCAAAAATCCCAGTGGGATGCAAGTCAAACAACCAACAACAACCACAAGACAACTTAGATTAAGGCCATCAGTCTAACTCTGTACTACAACAACACAAACATGGCTAAACCAATATACTTTTCGAAATCACCAAAATAAAGCCATGAAAGCAATGAAACAGTGATCATAGGAACTGTGATGGAATTTTCACAATAAATGGCATAAACAACATGTAACCCATCATGGGACCTCCTTTGCCAGTACCAAAATATACTAATAGGGGTTTTTCCCCTTTTTTTCTGGCAACAAAACTGACACCTTTTGCAAGGAATAATGCTTACATTATCCACAATACTTGCAGTTAAATGCAAACACAAAACAATACTCTGATAATTTATGCATTGTCTTTGAAACTGATTGGTCCACACCAGAGACAGCTTTCTTTGGAGCCTAGTCTCATATGGTGTTCGACAATGCATAAATTATCAGAGTATTGTTTTGTGTTTGCATTTGACTGCAAGTATTGTGGTTAATGTAAGCATGATTCCTTGCAAAAGGTGTCAGTTTTGTTGCCAGAAAAAAAGGGAAAAAAAAAAACGGAAAAAAACCCTATTAGTATAACATGTAACCCATTCAACGGCGGAGAAGCCGGATGGTGAGGAGAGGGTGAAGTGAGGGGAAGGTGGAACGGAGGGTGAGGTTAGGTGAGGGTGAGGGGAGGGTGAGGTGAAAATTGAGGGAAGGGAGAGGTGAGCATGGAGGGGTAGGGTGAGGGGGGAGAGTGAGGTTCAGGTTGGCGTGCGTGAGCAATGTCGCCAGTGCAGAACAAATCGCAGGTTCGTGTGTCCGCTCCTTTGCCTGCAGTGCGCGCTCACGTCACCACGCCTCCTCATCCCTGCGATTCACCATCAGCACCATCGTCACCATCACCAACATCATCATCACCCCATCATCATCACAATCAACAACAACAACCGCCATTCGCCACTAAGTGGCGGTGACGTCAGCACGACGCTTGTGCCAGGCCATGTGCACCTTGAGGCTACCACGTGAAGTGTCGAACGCCTGCTGGCAGGAGGTCACGGCGCAGACCCAGATGCCACGGGTCGACTGACTGAGACGACTGGCTGAAGCACCACCTGTGCCCCCTACTGTGCCAACTTGCTGCGCTTTAGCCACCCGGCGCTCCGCTCGTTGTGAGCGTCACTCCTCCGCCCTCCGTTGTTGTTGGAGGACGACTGCCTCCAACTGCTCAGCAGCGTTCTTCACGAGCCTCCTCCACAGATGCCGATCTTGACACCACTGGTACCAGTCATCGGCAAGTCCACTCAGCTCCACATCCTCCCGTACCGTATCACTCCATCTGTTCTCTAGCCCGTGTCACTCACTCACCTACTCACCCACTCACCCACACCCTCTCACTCACCCTTGCACTCACCTACACACTCACCCTTGCTCTCACCCACAAACTCACACACTCACTCACACACTCACACACTCACTCACACACCCACTTACTCACCCATCAGCTCCATCTCTTCTCCAGCTTATGCCGTGCCCGTTGATGCCACCCTCTATCCGGCCAAACAGAAGCTGCATTGGGCATGCGGTGGCTGGGCATGCGGTGGCTGGGCATGCGGTGGCTGGGCATGCTATGGCAATAATGTGGGAGCCAGAGGACATCCCTGTCGCATCCCAAGGTGTACAGGGAAAGGCTCCGACTCCCGGCCACGTAGTTTTCCCGGGCCCACTCACCATCATGAAGGTCCTTAATGATCATGAGCAGAGGGTCAGGGACTCAGAAAGCACGATGAACAGCCCACAGCCCAGGCCTACTGATGGTATCATAGGCCTTGACCAGGTCAATAAAGCAGAGTTGTAGGTCTTGTTGGAATTCCCTACACCTCTGCTGTAGCAGACGGACAGAAAATATGGCATGTGCAGGACCGCCCTTTCCTGAAACGGCATTGGGGCTCCACAAGCCTCTCCTCAGCGTGCCTAGCAAGGCGATGTTGAATAATCCTTGCCAGGACCTTTCCCGACACACTAAGTAGTGAGATGCCCCTGTAGTTGTTACAGTCTGTGCGGTCCCCCTTCTTAAAGAGGGGGACCACCAGGGCATCCTTCCAATCCTGCGGAACCCGTCCAGTGTTCCAGACTATTGTTATGTCATGTAGGGCAGTCTGTGCACAAACGCCACCCTCCCTCAGCATTTCGGTTGGGAGATCATCTCTGCCCGGTGCCTTTCCTGGTCTCAGACTCTGGATCGCCTTCAGTACTTCTGTAATATGAGAATATAACCGGCTCACTGACGTATCACAACTTGTCATGGTGATTGGCTCTGCCGGTCCTGGTTTACAGCCAATGGGGGGAAGCCTGGGGGCATGGCCCTGACGTGATGGAAGGGTGACAGCTATGGAGATTGGTTCTGCTGGCTTTGGCCTCAGCCAATGGGGAGATGAGTCAGGGGCGTGGTCCCGGGAGCTGACGAGGGAGCCTGGAAGATTCGATGCAGGCTAACGAGGATTGGCAGAAGCGTACCACGTGACCCGGGTATTAAATAGGGGTAGAGAGGAACGACACGTGGTCAGAACGGGAACGAACGGAGGAAGGGGCCACGCGGGAGCGGGGCTCCAAGTTGCCACGTGGCAGTGCGCCTCTCTCTATCTGTCCCTCTCACGCTGCCTATCAGCAGCGTGAAGTAACTGTAACCTAAAGTGAATAAAAGACGGATTACAGAAGTCGTCTCAAAGAGCTTTATTACACTTCCACAACAGATGGCACCTCAGCAGGCCACTCGAGCTCCACCGCCGGCCTGACACCGTCGTCGTCGGAGGAGTAGAGGAAGCGATCCAGCGCCTGCTGGCTCCTTTCTACCATAGGGAGGTGTCAGAGGCAGCCTCCTTGTGCTCCACTGCCCCTTCCCTGCTCCCCACCGGGTGTCCAAACTGGAAGCGTGGCCGGTTTCTGGGTACCGCTCTCATTCCCTGCTGGCTGGAGTTCAAGAGCGGAGAAGCCTGGGGTCTTCCTCCATTCACCCTCTAGTCTCTGGTGGTGATTGACACTTTGTTTGCTGCAGGTGTTTAAAAATTTCAATCACCCACTTTCCCTATGCAGGTGTATTTTCTTTTGCCACTTATTTGTACCATGTGACACAATACACTACACTACTATACTCTACAATATACAATACACTACTATAGACTACTATACACTACTATACACTGCACTATACACTACACTATACACTACACTATACACTACACTATACACTACTATACACTACTATACACTACTATACACTCCACTATACACTACACTATACACTACTATACACTACACTATACACTACACTATACACCACTATTCACTACACTATACACTACACTATACACTACACTATACACTACACTACACACTACTATACACTACACTACACACTACACTATACACTACACTATACACTATTATACACTATTATACACTACTATACACTACACTATACACTACTTTACACGACACTATACACTATACACTACTATAAACTACACTATACACTACACTATACACTACTATACACAACACTACAATACCCTACACTATACACTACTATACACAACATTACTATACACTACACTATACACTACACTATACACTACACTCTACACTACACTATACACTACACAATATACTACTATACACTACTATACACTAGACTATACACTACTATACACTACAATACACTATACACTACTATACACTACACTATACACTACTATACACTACACTATACACTACACACTACACTACTATACACTACTATACACTACACTATACACTACTATACACTACACTATACACTACTATACACTACACTATACACCACTATACACTACACTATACACTACTATACACTACACTATACACTACACTATACACTACACTATACACTATACTATACACTACTATACTCTACACTATACAATACACAATACACTGCTATAGACTACTATACACTACACTATACACTACACTATACACTACTATACACTACTATACACTACTATACACTCCACTATACACTACACTATACACTACTATACACTACACTATACACTACACTATACACCACTATTCACTACACTATACACTACACTATACACTACACTATACACTACACTACACACTACTATACACTACACTACACACTACACTATACACTACACTATACACTATTATACACTATTATACACTACTATACACTACACTATACACTACTTTACACGACACTATACACTATACACTACTATAAACTACACTATACACTACACTATACACTACTATACACAACACTACAATACCCTACACTATACACTACTATACACAACACTACTATACACTACACTATACACTACACTCTACACTACACTATACACTACACAATATACTACTATACACTACTATACACTAGACTATACACTACTATACACTACAATACACTATACACTACTATACACTACACTATACACTACTATACACTACACTATACACTACACACTACACTACTATACACTACTATACACTACACTATACACTACTATACACTACACTATACACCACTATACACTACACTATACACTACTATACACTACACTATACACTACACTATACACTGCACTATACACTGCACTATACACTACACTATACACTACACTATACACTACACTATACACTTCACTATACACTACACTACTATACACTACTATACACTACACTATACACTACACTATACACTACAGTGACGCAGTAACTCGCTGACCCCGTGACCCCAACTGGACTCCTCCTGCAGTCTAAACAAAGATTCTGATTCTATCTTAAGTTTGGAGCTTTCGTGACTGCAGGAATTATTCTTTGGTTCTTTCGGTAAAGTTACGTATAAAGATAAAATAATAAATTAAATAATAGCATACGGCGTTTCGATTGCAACACAAGCAATCATCATCAGGTATAAATGAAATCTATATATATATATAAAATCGCGAATCTGTCTGTCTGTCTGTGTGTGTGTGTGTCGCCGGACCATACGCACTTTCATTGGACGCCGGTTGCCCCTGGCAACGGCTAGCGACGCCTTCGCCGCTTTCATTGGACGGCGGTTGCCCCTGGCAACGGCTAGCGACGCCTTCGCCGCGGCCTGCAGTTTCATTGGACGGCGGTTGCCCCTGCCAACGGGTAGCCACGCCTTCGCCGCTTTCATTGGACGGCGGTTGCCCCTGCCAACGCTTTATTATTTCAGTCGTTTACTGCCGTACGCACCCTGAAAGTCGTGTGTGTCTGCAGCAAGCGCGTGTATGTGTACCTATGGACGCGCGCGCGTGTGTTGTGTAGGGGGAACGGTAGTGTAGTGCTTAGCGTGCTGTCTGTGTCTATGTGTGTGTGTCTTTGTGTGTGTGTGTCTGTGTGTGTGTCTGTGTGTGTGCGTGTGTGGTGTGTGGGGAGCGGTAGTG